TATATGTATATTATAAACCTTTTATAACATTCTGAAAAATTTGTGTAGTTTCTGTTGCAATATATTAAAAAAGTCATCTTATAAGCATGTAAAGCATTACCTATTGATTGAATTTGTTAAAAGAAATATACGTAAAACTATAACTTGCGTATCACGTAACGCTGTAAGCATCCAATTTGGACGTCGTACGGAAGCGTCAATCTGTTCTAAAAATAACCGAACTGATATTCCTCGACGAAATCTGAAGGACTCATGATAGAGTAGTGGGTGGAACAGATCTCAATTGTCGTTTCTCGCCTAATTCTCACGTCCAGCCGAGAAAATTCGACCTGTGACTTCTATTCGAGTCACGGGTCTGATATGGCATCCGAATGTGAGAGTCGTCCGCTTTTGGTCCATCTTCTTCCTCTCCCGAGTCGCTCCTTCCGCCTCGTTTTCAACCATCACGGTCACACCTTCTCCTCTCGTCCTACCGTTCTAAAGCGTTCTCTCTCGGTACGCCTTTAATGCTCTATTCCCAAAGCATCTATTTCCGTGGCAGTCCTTTAGAATTTCTTTCGTTTCCCGCGCTACGCCCTTGCTACCGCTTGTCTTTGTGTTTCACCGGAATTCATTCGTCCCACGCCATTCCAGACGAGACACGGCAGTTTAGTCTCTTTTTCTGTCCTTTTTTTCTCTCTTTATCTTTCTTTTTTGTATTTTTTTTTACGTATTACTTTTTCGCATTACTCTGCCCGGATTCTTTTCCCTTCGATACCCTTCGAAATATGCGTATGGCACTCAATGTAAAATTTGTCCAATGTACGAGAACAAAATAATTTGTATAGTTGCATGCAAAAATAAAGTTGACGCAGTGTATAGTTCCGAATTTTTCAAAAAGATATGAAAATTTAAAGTGACATACATATATGCATAACACTATATTCATATTCATTATCATTTTGATTTAAAATTTATATGAAAAAATCGAGACGATTTGCCTATGAAAGTTAATTTATTTAATATTGATATTTGGTTTTGCGTGCATACGCGAGAAGGTTAATATAATTTATAGATTTTCTTTCAAAAGCAAATAAGTTTATTAAATTCGACACATGTTATTAATATGTTACTAATTTAGAACATTAAAATTATATATTTTTCTCTCGTCAAAAGAAATAATTTTTGTTTTATTATATATGCTCAAAGTTTTTAGGTAAATATATATACAATATATATTTTAATTATTGATACCTTCTTTCTTTAAATTTAAATTTCAGATTTATCTAAATTTAATATAATCTTCAAACAACAGAAGACACAGACTATTTGTATTCAACTACGTAGAATATTTTTGTCTCTTTATACATTGAATATATTTTACACTATGTGGCCAATCGATATTTTTAGAAAAACACTTCGTTATCCGAGCTTAATTCTGTATTGCCGCTCACGTATTTTTGTTTCTGTCGCATATAAATTGCGTTCAAAAAATTGATGATTATACAAGTTGATGCTCAAGTAGAAGGCATTAAAAATATTTATTGGATAGTTCTTATTCTCTCTCAATTTTTGGATCGAAGATCCCCCTTTATCAAATTATGAATGGATATTAATAATTTTTGGATTATGTAGTAATGAAAAACGCGATTAAAAGTAAAGTTTCTTTCGCTACTTAATCATTTCTCAAAAGCATAAGAATAATTTTGCTTCTTATTTAATTTTATATGATTTTTACACGTTATTAATTTCAGAATTGGATTTAAGAGATTCGGGGCTAATTATAATGTTTCAATTAGAAAGCTGCAATAAATAATGATCTTTCTTATACTGATCTTCATTATACTTATCATAGAATTAAATTTTAAATAAGAAAGTTATTCTGTTTTAATCTTTTGTGATAATTGCGAATTGTAACTAATATGGTCAACAAATGACTATTTAGCTGTATAATTATTATGTTTTTACTTATAACTTTGTGTAATGAAAAAGGCGAATTTATTATATTAATCTGAAATTAAATTTACATAGTAATGAATTATTTAATTTTTCACGAACGATTCCAATATTTAATCTTACTTCTTCTTCTTCTTTGTCCGATTTATGCTATACATTAATTCTTGATCTCTTTAATCTACTCTCTCTACGCTTCCGCAAATTCGTCAAATGCTCTTTGTAAAATAATTCAAGTTGCATCTTTCTTTGCCTCTTTAATCTTACCTTGGTTCGCGAATGATGATATAATCTTTTTTTCGGGTTTAGCAAATGGAAGTATTGTTAATACATAGCTTTTCAAGTATCGTAAAATAAATGTAGAAAAAATTAAATTTAATTTAATAAATTGTACAATATTTTTTTACTTTTATTTATATATTAAATATTTTTAAAAATTATCAAATGTGTCTTGAGCGTCTCGCTGATTAATATATCTTTTACAAAATGTTTTCGTTCTCTATTTTTAAAAATAATAATTAGCTGTTAAATTTAACAATTTTTCTTTGTGCCTCCGTATATGACTGACCTATTTTTACTCGAGTTGCTTTGATACTTGTGTGCTGGGACAGTACCTTGTTCTGAAATTTAACATGCGCTTGCTAAATTATCCGCACGTTGATGCGCCACTTACATCCTACATTTCCTTGCGCCGTGGTTCTTTTTCATCTTCTCCCGCGTATCTCCTCGTCTCCCGCGTTCTCCACGGTGTCGTTGGTGCAAGTACGCGGCCATGTACATTCGCGCGAAAAATCGGGCAAGTACTGTACTATCACATGTTATACCCGCTTCGTTCCCGCCGTTGCGCACGTACGCTACGATAAGCTGCTTCCTCGTCATCAAGAACCGCGACATCGCATGTATTTTTATGCCGGTGATGCCCCGTAGATAAGCTCAGCCAACGAAAGTGTCCAACGAGATATTTTCGCTCGATACTAGCGAATGGAATCGTTCCGCGGAACTTTATATTTGCTCTTGTGTCGTAGATGTCCTTCATATACACGTATTTACGATACGCTAAATTACTTGCAATACTAGGAAATTTATTTAGCTTACTGCGGACTGTTGCAGCAGCAAAATGGAATCTCATAAATAAATGCACGCAAAATTTCTGCTCGACTGGCACATCATGTTTTTGCGACAAAGCTTTCGATGCTTGTGGTATTGATTTTTCCGTTGGCGAAAATTTAATGAAATGCTCAAATACGTGTGAGAAAAATATTAAAAAATTAAACAGCTGTGTTCAGTTAGTCAAGTGTTATTTCTAAATTGCTAATTTTTGTGCATTTCAAGTGAATTTTTATTAGTTCAAAGTAAAAAAAAAATAACATTAATAGCATTAAAAATTATTATAACAAGTAATGAATTCAATCAAAAAATTTCCCTAAGAAATTAATTGAATTTATTTAAAAAACCTGTTGTTAAAATATAACATAAACATACTTTTCTCTTGCATTATCGAATATATAATTTTTTGTAATATAACGTTCTCTTCTTTTAATCAATAAAGTACGACAAGGTATATCACGTTTCAGAGAAAATCAAATGTAACATGATAAAAAAAATATCTTACGCGGGAATCGATATTGGAACAAATAAACGTAGTTTATACGTATCTGTCAAAAGCTTGAAATGCAGGTGGAAATATACGTTGGAAACAAAGTAACTTTTTTGTGAAGTGTATTCATGTTGAAAACTCACGCTATCACGTATCCAATTTCACGTCCCACAATTTAAATTTCAACCACTTTTGCTTTTTTTATATTTTCTGAAGTTTCCTGGTTTTTTCTACAAATAATAACTTTTAAAAAAATACAGCACTACAAACAATATATAAGCTTTCCTTAAGCAAAATTTCTTGTTGTTAGGATGATTTTTTCAACTGCGGCATACCTTGAAAATGATGATAATAGGTCGCGAACCATTTGTAGAGTATGTTTTATGAAGTAGTACATTTTATATACTTGTGGTATATTTTAAACTAACGTTTTGACGATTGTTACTATGCTCTATAACTTATATAGGGCTAAAGAGAAACGTGCGGTCCATTCTAACGCTACGTAACATCTTGATGAAACTAGTTTCTATATATTTAAATTAAAAATACACACTCTCTCTCTCTCTCTCTCTCTCTCTCTCTCTCTCTCTCTCTCTCTCTCTCTATCGTTTAGTCGAGTTGTATCCCCTAACGATGCTGGACATTGTAAGACCTAATAGACAGTTTGTGCAGAGAATATTGATTGAAATCAAATTGTACGAGGACCGCGTTCAGCCTGAATTTCTGAGCGAACAAGCACGGAGTATCGCCGATTCATGCTGACTTGGCATTTATCGGGTTCCTTCCGACCAGATTTGCTTAATGATTTTATCCTATTCATAAATGATCCTCAGAATTTTTCGAAAACAATTTATGCGTAAGTACATGTTACCTATATCACGAAAACGCATGCGATGCAAAGATTAATGTGATCCAATAATGGACGTTGCCGATAAATATCATATCATGAGATTTTGATGCCCTACAATTTCGATTGATACCCATAATAATAAATCTTATCGAATAACCATTTGGACTTAATGGTTTTCCATTTTTCTGAACTGAAATTCGATGCTCTAGCGTTTCCGTTTCCGAGCCGAGCTTTCAAACTGTTTCCTGTTGTATTCTCTTTCTTTACCCTGTTCTAAAGCCGAGATGAATTTTGGCCAATATCTCGTTCGATATAATAATTTTTCCAATAAAAGAGCTAGTGACATGCTTGCATCTGAATAAAATACTTCTTAAATACTGCGCTTTGGAAACGCTTTGGCGCTGGGACGAAAATTTTTCTCGACTTTGCCGTTAAAAGCTACGTAACTGTAATATAAAGAATTTTTTAGTTAAAATAGAAGCGCTTCTTTATTTTCTAGAGAGATCTTGAAAAAATATCAAAAACCGTTTTTCGAGAAACGAGAACGAGTGTTCTCTATGGAAACAGTATTCGCAGTGAAGCATTTTCAAATTAAGAGACATCTTGTGAGCTAAAATATTCTTTAAAGATATTAAAAATATTTATTTAAATACGAGAATTAACACAGAAAATCATAATTGTTTAATTCGAGCATCTTGGTTTTTTTCGTGAAGTATACCTGTGAACAATGGCAAATTAATAACACAATTTTTACAATAAAACTAAAGATGAATTATTTAAATAATAATAAGTAAAATTGGTGCCGAAAATAATGTTCTCAATTATGAACGTCTACTAAAAATGAATCGTATTGATCTCTGGGTACTCGTGATAAATATATAGAAAGGATATGAAACAAGATTTGAAAATGCATCAGCCGCTATTTTACGCGCTTTAGTGTTATTTTTAGAGCGACGAAACTGTTTCTCTATTTAAACTTTTCTTTATTATGAATACATTTGATGCAAATTTGAAGTTTCTCATGTTGTTGTCACATTTTCTATAACGTGAGTTACACAATTTTTGATTCAGCCAATAAAATATTCAAACTTACATTTCACATACAAACATACGTGGTGCTTAGGTATATCGACTCATATATTTCTTAAGTTTTTCTTGAAGTACGAAAATATAACTATCGCATGCCCACACGAGCATATACGCATAGTTGAGAAATAAGCTTTTTAATCGAAAATTCGCTGTTAACGTAATTTCGATTTATGTTTGTAAGATACTAGTAATCCCGAGAGAACCATTGACTAAATAATTCGAGTACCTTTCTCTTTTTGCTTGTATTACATAATGTGATATAGTAGATTGCTGACGTTCTACCGACGTCTTATTATTCATGGTTTTAACGTCTTCGTTCATTTTGCTCGTGAAACATCGTGGGAGCGTAAAACCATATTTCCCCTACCGTTTAATTAGATTTGAGTTAATCGCATTCTCTTTTCCGAATACACAAATTGGGGAAAGTACATACATATAAATGCCTGCTTCCTGCGGTATTCTGTTTCATCTATTTTACTATCTCGTGGGATCGGGCTAACAAATCTCGCCTCGTATTTTCGTCACGGTTTATTCAGACGTAGTAACATCGCTTCCCATATGTCAGCTGTTGTCGGTATACATGTTCCAAACATTTTGATTTTGACGTTTCTCGATGTTACGCATGTTCCGCATGTTGTTTCGATAAAAAAAAAAGGTATTTACGATTGTGCTAAATTTCGATAGCGAATATTTGTCTTGTCGATTTTAAAAAATTTTTTTGAGTAAATTTAAGCGTTCTCTTTGTTAGTTTTGTATTTTAAAGTATTTTAAACTATTGTAAGTAAAAATTTTGGAATATCATATTTGTTTTCTCATAGATTACTTAATCTGAAGATTGTTACATTATTAAATTATATAACTTTATTAAATATATACATTATTAATGAAACTCAAAATTGCCAACAAACTGTCGATGTATTTGACACTTACAACAAATCTTGATTTAATATTAGCGTGATCTTTTTAAACTTTTTCTAGTCGTTTACTTTGTCTCTGTATATACGTGAGAATATACTCGTGAGCTAAACTCTGAATTTGTCCGTGATCCGTCAACGTAAGATTATCTATCCATTGTAGCGCGCAGTTACGTCCTATAGTTATTGTATCCGTAACCGGCTTGTCGCATGTCGATCCCGAGTAGCGCTATGAAGCAGTCATAATCAATCATGCTACATGTATCCAACTTCGCATATACTGAATATGCGCAAAATAGTGACAACGAACATTTCCCATCCTTTTCAAATAACGTAATATTTCCTGTATTGCCAAAGTGTATTGCCAAATATACTGGCAATGGAGAGGGCCTCATCTTAATCATCTGGTACGTCAATTATTCTGTATATAAGCGAGCATAATTAATAGGAGATGGCAAATGACAGGTGATTCAAGCTTCGACCGCTCACCAGTAATCGTAAACAGACGTACACTCGAGATATAAATCGCAAATCATCGTCCTAACTTCATCGACCTATTGCTTAGTGAATATATCGTCGCTCGTTATACGAACGTGTGATTTATGATGTTTGAAACAGTCATCACGTTGCTTCTTGTTCCAGTGAAAGAAACATTTAATTGTGAAATTGCAAAACAAATATTTTATGAAGCAAATTGTGCAGCAATGCTTATAATTCGTGTTTATAGTCTTTTTTTATGAAAAAAAAAAAAAAAAAAAAAAACAGTTACATTGAGAAGTCTGACTATTCTTTTCTCGCGATTTTATTCTATCGCTGAAACGTACACACAAGGCTATCTTGATGAATCTTCTGTATTTTATCCGACGAAACTTTAACTGCTACCCATATTCGATAACGATAAATCAATGTTCATTCGCGTAGTCGTTAGAAATATCGATCCCATTACCGTCGCAAGCAGCTTTAGCCAAGCACATTCTCTTTTTCGTCCCTCGACTATTACCCTTTATCGTGCAACGAGATAATTCAAAGCGACTGCTGTAACTCGCTCCGGTGAAGTAATTAGTATAACGAGTAAAAGCCGGGAGTCCGCTGGTTCGTGCGACACGATCCGTGCTCTTTTAATAACTACTAATCCGCTAAAAAGTGAAACGAACGAAGAACAAACGAGTTATCTCGCGTAATCGGGACGAGAACCTGTGTCGCTGATTTATTCAGTCTTTAATGTGAATCTTTAGACTTGTGACACGCAGTTTTCGTTCGCTAAAGGGGAATGAAACGCGAGCGTTTATAGCGTTACGTTTGTTTCGACTGCATTTAAATCCTTTGACCTATACTAAAGCACTGCAGTGTTGATCGCACGAATATTACAATATTGTTCAAAGAAAGAGGATATTTTGCGTGTGCTATCAAAATGATAAAAGCTTTTATATTGTAATTCTATTTGTATTGTATTTGTCACGATGTTTAAATATCAAAGATAAAGTTAATAATGAAGGGGAAAAAAATTGGAAAAATTATAATTATAATAAATCACGTATATATTGTTGTAAAGTATAAAGGTTGTAAATAGAAGTCGAAATGGCATATGAAAAATTGATTTGCGATTTTTAGTGTTGAAGTTAAATATGACAAAGTTAAATTCTTTTTACGTTTGAAAACAATGAAATTTTTACAAGGGTCGTACTGAAATAAATATGAACACTTGCGATCTTTCGTTACTTAGACATAAGACATCAATACTAGAAAAGTAATTACTTTTTTTATTCTTTCTGAAAGGTCAAGTTTCCGTAAATGCGTGGCTTGGAGGTCAAGATGCAAACCGTCATCCTAATGTCGCAAACATCGTGTATCGAATTCGTCCGTGACTTGTGTTTCGTCGCGAATCGGGTCGTGTCATATTTACTGATAGTCAGCGAATATAATGAGCCATGCCGAATCCTTTCTGTGACGCGTTATTACTTGGCGAGGCGAGCAGCGCGTTCGTGGGAACCCACTTTAGTAGAAATCACAGTTGATTGCTTATACGAGGTGTCTCAGATTCATCGTGCCACCTTTTGCTTATAGAAGCTCTCTTCGATCAACTTGGAATTGATATTTTCTTTAAAAAAAAAAAAAAAGAAATACAAAAGGAGATAACAGCTTTTAAATTGTGATTGAAAATGGTGGATTTCTCAGAAACTGAATTGAACTCGACTTCATTTTTTTATTAAATTTTAAATGATTTATAAATAAATCTGTAATTTAAGAATCATTTCTGTTTGATATTTTCGTAAAAAAAATTAGTTTCCAAGAATTTAAGATTAAAAGATATTTTATTTCGAAATGTTCTGTGCGCAGATTGTTAAAAATTAAAATCTGTGAAGCTTTTGTTAAAAGAAAATTGAATTTAAAATTTATTCTAGATTTGAAAGGATTCACAGCTAAAAGATGCGATTGTTTAGGCATTCATATAAATTATGAATAATGCACAATACATGACAGATATCACGGAATATCGCGCCATCGATAATCGCTTAACATCATAATGTTGGACTCGACATGGTCTTTTTTTTATAATTTCGCTGTTTATTCGGCAGAGTCCGCCGACGTTTCTGTAAAAGCGACCAACAGCTTGACGTATGTCAGTTATTTGAATGAAGTACATGCCGCGTGACGAGTGACAGTAAGCCGCTCTGATATATCCGTCCCTCCTCCCGTTTTTCGTTTTGTGGAAATGAGAACCACATACATATATGAGTAAGATACTCGATCGCTCACAGCGCATTCAACGTTTTCATTCCGCATTCCACACCACTCGCTAACCGCTAGAATACGTGCTGCGTACTGCTTGCAATATACGTGTAATGCTCTAATGTTGCAATGGTAACGTCTTTTGAAATATAAAACTGCGACACATACAAAATACCTGACACTTAAAGAGCCTTTTATTTATGCATTTTTTTAGAATTGATCTTTTTTTTTAACAGAAACATTGAACCAGATTGTTACTTCATCGCAAACTCGCAATTTTTATCATTAAATATCTTCGTAACTTAGTCCTTAAATTAGAAGTCAGTGTACTGTCTATTTGAAATTAATGAAGAAAATAGGATGTCACATACTATATTTGCGACTTTGAAGTTAACTTCTCGAAAATAAGATGTTACTATATATTTACGTCTTTAAAGTTAACTTCTCGAAAAGCTTTTTATTTCCAATCGTATGTAATTTAAAAATTATCGATTTTTATTAAGGAAAAATTTCTTAAGTAAAAATTGATTCCTTTAACGAATGAATCTCTCTAATGTAGTATATGTTATATTTGATACAGATATTGATGATATTTTACATATCTTATCAAATTACTTTAAATTTTACTTTAGGAACATTAAATTAATATTTAGCATTTTTAACAATAGAATTTGACAATATTAATACAAAATATAAGTTTAAACATAGATATCGATAATATTGATTGCTATTTTTTTTAGGTTAATGCTGTTTCTAGCTGCAAGTTTAATACATAGCGATTAATTTGAAATTAGAATAAAGAGAATTCTGTATTAAATGAATAGCAATGATTGATTCACATTAATATTACGTAGTAAAACACACACTGAAAGTAACTTGAATCGGAGATTTGTCACTGAAAACGGATAATGAAAGAGTCAAGGTAGTTTGTACAACGTACATGACAGCAAACAGCGTTGCATGCATAGAATGCGGCAACAAAACATGTCCCGTGCGCTAGCGGCTCAACAAATCATATTGCAGCTCCGAAGTATGTGGACTATAAATGTAACAATTAAAAACTGCATCGCATATTTTTGCTTAGAGACTCGATCTCTCGATATTATAGGAGGGGCGGGGGAAACATTACAGATTATTTGTTTAGCTTATTTATTTTAGCTAATATATGTAATTAACGGAATAAATATTACAAAATTTATTTATTTTAATAGATATACGTACATAACTATTTTATTATTCGAATTCATTGTTTATAACATACCAATGTTTATATTAATTTATATTGATTATTTGGTGAACATTGCATGAGGATTTAATGCACATGACAAATACATACATATATAAATTAATACCTTAAAAGCAAACATGTTTTACAAATGAAACAAAAGAGTGAGAACTCTGTAATCTCGTTAATAGCTCTGAATTTATAATAATGGTATGACGCGTCAATTCGATTCAAATATCTTGTTTCTAACTATAATATATTTTCGAGTTTTTAATTCACGATATGGCTCTTTCATCCTTTTGGTTATCCCACATATAGACAAATGTGCATCAAAGTGTGGTATTTCTCATAAAATTATATAAATGCAAATGTTATTTCATATATATTGTTAACCTTCATATTCTTAATTTCTCTCATACATTATTAATTCAATAATAATTTTTAATAATAATTTTAATTATTAATATTAATATTTGAGATTTATTATCTCGCTGTTGTTGTATTAGCACAAAAGATCTTCTTTGATATGATTATTTTCAAATTTTATATTTTATATAAAATATAAAGTTTAAAAATAATTGTCATAGAATATATATGTATTAATGTACACTGCTAAATCTATTGTGTCAAATTGAATCTTATTTAAGTCACTACTCCTACTTAATAAATAGTTATTTTTAACTAAAACAATATACATAGTTACTTTTAAATAAAACAATAGAATTTAACCCAAATTTGGGTTAAATTTGAACTGTTTTAAATTATTTAATTCCATTGTTTTAGTAAAAAATAACTATTTATTAAGTAGGAACAATGGCGACTTAAATAAGGTTCAGTTAACACTATAGATTGAACAGTGTATATACACTCACATGATACAACATTAAATTTGTTTAGATTAAAAATAATTTAATAATTATTGATATTTTTATGTTACAAATTTTGTACTTTCAAAGTAGTTAATTGAAAATTTCTTAATATATTTACATTAATAAAAAAATTTATATATAGGAATTAATTTATGTTTGCTATTAATTTTTTCTCTTACACGGAGATCAGGCTTATCTAGAACGTAGTGCGAAATAATGTTACGAACTTACGAAACAATCTGGTCTTTTGGTCTTATACAACTACCATCGAAATTGTTGCGAAAGGTGCAATCCGCTGGACAATTGCCCGAGTAATTTCGCATATTTACAGTCATGCGCACAAAAGGCATCCATTTGTGCAAATTACGCTTGTGCGCGTAAGTTGTGTACGTCCTACATACGTCTTGTACATGTTCCATATATACGCTGCATACGTCGTTTATGCTGGAGATATGTGCGTGTCTGCAAAGCTCCATTGAACCGCACGAACGCCTCGTCAAGCGCACGTAGGCACTTCATGAAGCTTTTTCACCGGATATATGACTAGATTATACAAAGTTCTATGGATGAACAAAGGAGTGTATTCACGCAAACCGCCGTTTATTAATTTTCGGCATCGAGACACGTGAAGTAGTTGAATCAAAGTCACGGCAAGCTCATCTGAAATCATTAAAGATGCACAAGGGTATTCGGAAACTTTCAGTCGGATAGCGTTGGAAAATCCCGTAGGTAGGCTTTAATGAATTATGTCGGATTCTCTTTTTATTTATTGATACAAGTGCTTTGAAGTTAAATAATAAATTCTTTTCAGATAAATATAGTTGGTAACTTTAGATATTCAAATTTCGGTTTTGTAAAGCTGAAAGCGTTTAAATACTTTGAAATTGAAAACATTGCATAATTTTATTTGCAAAATGCAATATCTCCAGTCGCGACCAATTAGGGAAAAAATGTTATGAATAATTTTTACAAGTGCTGTATAATGAAATATTTACATTATCAGTTATGTTGATTGGATTAAAATTTAGATGCAATGAAAACAGAGTGTAACATACGGCAAACATATTGCAAAAATTTAATAAAAAATATTTTATTTTCCTCTAACAAAACTACAATATTTTTAATAATTTCTTTTTGTAATCTGGTGTATTTCATTACTGTAGAAAATCTTAGTAATGAAGTATAAATTATAAAAAGCTTTTACTTTGTTGTATTTTCATTAGTTATATGTGAATTTCATTTACGTGTGAGTGATATTTTTCGTTGGTTATACAATTGCACATTTCCACGTCGAAGTAATCACGAACTTTTCTCATTAATAATCATCGTAAAACGGGTAATACAACTCGCAACAATAGAAACATTCTATCAAGTTCTGTTGGTTATTTTTGGCGATATTTTCTGGACTTTACGCGAAGTGTTATTAATTTAAACTTTATTAGATCTCTCTATCACACAAATTTCTGAGTGCGCTTCTATAATTTTGTGACATTATCTCGAGTAAGACAAGTTAAAATTTGCATTTAATGAATAATCCAGCGGGCGTCTTCCGACTGGTTCATTCGCCTGCGGACAGTTATTTTCGCCTCCCGCGGGTTTTCCCTACCTACCTAGGAACATCTATCATTGTACGTA